GGGCAGCAGAAGCTCGTGGCATGAGGCACATGCTGAGGAATCCTGGGAGTGTGGAAAATAGCTTATAAAACCCAGGACACATTTGCAAAAGTCACCATTTCATCTGTTAGTGGCATAAGGTCAGCAGTTAACCAATACCTTGACTGTGAATTAGCAACTTTCAACTCAGAAAGTTACTGCTCGATAGTGCGCTCAAGGAGCCTGAGGCTTCCAGACCGACAGTTGAAGGGCAGTTGTGCTGCCTGGAATGGCCGGGGAGAGGAAACCATACCACCTGCCAGTTTACGTAACTTTAATGAAGTGAAAATGTAAACAGTGAAAACAATGTTTTATTTTTTTATCGTAATCTTTTAACCTTTATGATGCCATTTTTAGTTTCTTCCTTCCTTCTTTCTTTTTCGCTGAGGCAGGGTTTCTTTGCATACCCAGTCTGTCCTGAAAATTGCTTTGTAGACCAGACTGACCTTGAACTCACCATGTGTGCCTGTTGCTGGCATTTCCATCCTCATGTGCCATACTTTGTTCTCACTGCCCTGTGTTCCCAATTAGCTATTTCCTTTCCTTTCCTTTCCCTTCTAATGGTAATCACTGCATATATATTAACTTAAAACTAACTGTAGCATTTACATAAGATACCAGCGGCAATTCTGTCATTTATATTTAAAAGTCAGGTCTCATTTGCAGCCCCGATGGCTGCTAGGTAGAGTGGGCAGGCCTCAGAGATCCATCTGTTTCTGCCTAAGTGTTGGGATTAAAGGCATACAGCATGTCTGCTTATTTTTATTTTATATTTATTTTCCAACCTTATTTTTGAGGTTTCATGTAGCTCAGGCTGGCCTGCAACTTGTTATACAGGTCACCATTTAGTTCTCCTGCCTCTGCTGCCCAAGTGTTACTACTACAGGCCTATACCAAATCTTGTTAAGAATTTTTTAATATCTCTTCTCATTTAACATAATATCCCCATTCCCACTCCCTCCCCTCCTCTCGCTCCCCCCCCACCTTCCCCTCACCTCATCCACTCCTCAGAAAGGGTGAGGCTTCCATCCCATAGGGAGTCAACAAAGTCTGACACTTCACTTCCAGGCAAGGCAAGACCAAGGCCCTCCTCTCCCCTCTATCTAGGATGAGCAAGGTATACCAAATCTTTATATTGTTCATTATTCTGTCTTCTCAAAATCCTGAATTTTCATACCCTGTGGTGGTTATCTGTCAACTTCACACAATGTGGAGTCATGGGAAGAGGATGCCTCCACCAGAGGTCATCTGAGGGCATCTTCTTGATTACCAGCCCTGCAGGCTATGCCACCCCAGCAGGAGTCTTGGGTTGAATAAACCAGCAACAGAGTAATGGTGTGCAAACCAGTAAGCAGCACTGCACTCCTTCATTGCCGAGCTTCAGATCCTGCCTCAACTTCTCTTAAGGGTCAGTGTGATACAATAAACCCTTTCCTCCCCAAGTTGCTTTCAATCAAGATGTTTATCTCAGCAAAAGAATGAAAACTAGGACACACCCAAATGTAAAACAAAAGACAACTTTTAAGACAGGGAGTATTTTATTTAAAATCCATCAGTGAAATGGACGGCTTGGGTCTATGACAAATCCTTCATTTTATAGCATAAGTCAGTAACTGTATGAAAGCACACATTGCCACATACAGATTAGCTGATCAGACCACATTTATGTTGGAACACAATAAACTTCCCTGTAAAAGCAGCACCTTTGTGACATTTAATTTAGTATTCCTCGCCTTCTTCCTCACCCTCTCCTTCAACAGAATCCACACCAACCTCCTCATAATCCTTCTCCAGGGCAGCCATGTCTTCACGGGCCTCAGAGAACTCCCCCTCCTCCATACCCTCACCCACATACCAGTGCACAAAGGCACGCTTGGCATACATCAGATCAAACTTGTGATCTAGGCGGGCCCAGGCCTCAGCGATGGCTGTGGTGTTGCTCAGCATGCACACAGCTCTCTGGACCTTGGCCAGGTCTCCACCAGGTACCACAGTGGGAGGCTGGTAATTAATGCCAACCTTGAAGCCAGTGGGGCACCAGTCCACAAACTGGATGGTACGCTTGGTCTTGATGGTGGCAATGGCAGCATTGACATCTTTGGGAACCACGTCACCACGGTACAGCAGGCAGCAAGCCATGTATTTACCGTGGCGAGGGTCACATTTCACCATCTGGTTGGCTGGCTCAAAGCAGGCATTGGTGATCTCTGCTACAGAAAGCTGCTCATGGTAGGCTTTCTCAGCAGAGATGACAGGGGCATATGTGGCCAGAGGGAAGTGGATGCGAGGGTAGGGCACCAGGTTGGTCTGGAATTCTGTCAGGTCAACATTCAGGGCTCCATCAAATCTGAGGGAAGCAGTGATGGAGGACACAATTTGACCTATCAACCTATTTAGGTTAGTGTAGGTGGGGCGCTCAATGTCGAGGTTTCTACGACAGATGTCATAGATGGCCTCGTTGTCCACCATGAAGGCACAATCAGAGTGCTCCAGGGTGGTGTGGGTGGTAAGGATGGAGTTGTAGGGCTCAACCACAGCAGTGGAAACCTGGGGGGCAGGGTAGATGGAGAACTCCAGCTTGGACTTCTTTCCGTAATCAACAGAGAGCCTCTCCATCAGCAGGGAGGTGAACCCAGAGCCAGTTCCCCCGCCAAAGCTGTGGAAGACCAAGAAGCCCTGAAGCCCTGTGCACTGGTCGGCCTGTAAGACAAAAGGAAAGATATTGAATTGGCTGGCACACTCAACACCACAACCCTCTCACTGCATCTTAAATGTATCCTATCCATCTATGGTATTTACCAGCTTGCGAATTCTGTCCAAGACGAGGTCAATGATCTCCTTGCCAATGGTGTAGTGGCCACGGGCATAGTTATTGGCAGCATCTTCCTTGCCTGTGATGAGCTGCTCAGGGTGGAAGAGCTGGCGGTAGGTACCAGTGCGAACCTCATCTGGAAAAGGAGGACAAGTCAGCCACCCGCCACCAACACTGGCTCACTCATCCTTCAGCGTCTGAAGAGAGGTCTGAGGATGTGACCCGGGTAGAATGCCTCAGGGAAGCCCCTGGTCCACTTACCAATAACCGTGGGCTCCAGGTCTACGAACACTGCCCGGGGCACGTGCTTGCCAGCGCCTGTCTCACTGAAGAAGGTGTTGAAGGAGTCGTCTCCTCCCCCAATGGTCTTGTCACTTGGCATCTGGCCGTCAGGCTGGATGCCATGTTCCAGGCAGTAGAGTTCCCAGCAGGCATTGCCGATCTGGACACCAGCCTGGCCGACGTGGATGGAGATGCACTCACGCTGTGGAAAAAAAATAAATTAAACTGTATCTATTTCTATTTTAGATTTTAATAAATTTCTAAAGTGTTTCTAATACTACAAACAGTGTTGAAATTTGTTTGGAGTCATATCCCTAATATAACAGAAACAATAAGAATACCTGCTACAAACACTGCAAATGGGTGTGGTCTGAGCAATGTCACCTTAATACTGCAAACCCATTGTTCCCACAGCCATACTTGAATAGCTTAAAAATATTCAAAGTACAGATTCTGTAAAATAAGATAATTGTCTGGAGTTACTTTAATTGCTTCTTTTCCTGATGAGTAAAGATGAAGGTTTCGTCTCATAGGATATGGTGTTTCAGCATGGAATCTGTACTGCTGCTGAGGCCAGAGCCACACCCTTCTGCAGAGTATCTTCAGAACCTATCAGTACTGGGAGGTTAGAAGCCAGACAAAGTGTGACTTCTGCATTGCTGCGTTTTCTGTGCCTGGTGCTGGTCTGCGCCCTTTGTTTCATTATTTAACAGAGAAAGCTCTATTTCTAGCAGCTGTCTATACGATCTCTTTGCTGCTTTCAGTCTTCTAGCCCTCCTGACCCTGTCTGGGCCAGTTGCCTGAATTAATGAATTACTGAAAATGTGTTAGAACAAAAGACAGGCGGATACAAGCTATAATTTTTTTCTTTGCAGCAGTTTCATCATTTACTGAAGGCTTACCAGATTCTTTTCTACTATATAGAACAGAAATATCCTTAAAGCTAAGTTAGAAACAAGCACTAACGATAAAGATAACATTTAAAACTAGAAAATGGTATTTTTTATTCGGTGAGTCTTTACATACCACATAATATATTACTATTATTGCAGTCTGTAGAGATATTGTTATTCTATCGCCTTTTAGCTACTGCTTTCATTGTCTGCAGGGGGTGGGGGCGGGGAAGGGCGTTTCCCCGGGTTTTGACAATCGGGGTACTCCAGCCTTTACAAAGTGGGCTTTGTCCTTCCACCAACCATCCAGACCCCTCCCCCAAGAGAGATGGCCCCGTTATTAAGTAAATCATACTTTTGATACTCAAGCAAACAAAACCTCTTGTAAAACTACAGTTCCACAACAATTTTTTTAAAAGTAAAAATACAAATCCGCTTCCAAGGGAAGTTTAAAGAGGGCGAACCCCTCCCAAAACGCCACGGAAGCAGGAGACAAACAACCCCGCCCCTGCGCCTCCCTAACACCGGCTGCCATGGTTCCGACGCAAACTAACCATTTTCCCAGAAGTGAGGCGGCGTTTCTGGAGTGCGGGCTCGGCCGCCGCCCTGCCCACTCGCCCGCAGCGGCGCACCCCCCTATCCCGCGCTTGAGCCCCGGCCCCGGCGACCCCAGGCAGTGCGAGCCAGCACTCGTCGGCGCCTTTGTTCTTCCCCGGGTCTGGGCGTTTCCCTATCCCGCGCTGCGGCGGCGGGACTTACGGACTCCGTGCCAAGCTCAATTTAACGGGCATGGAGACCACCTTCCCCTCAGGGGTGACAAAAGGCTTAGACTTTTACTCGTAGATCTCGGGCGACTGACTCCCTCCCGCTACCGAGTGCTTAGGAAGGTGGCTCACCATGGTTGCTGCTTCGCTGCTTCCCGGAGGATGGCGGAGACGAGGAGGAGGTGTTGCTTCTTACAGCGCGACTCTTAGGCGGTCGATGTAAGAGAACCTGCGGCACATGGGCGGATGCAGCTCCTTATATACAGCTCAGTCACCATGGGGATGGGCCTTGGCCTTTTCCTGTTGGTCCAGACCCCTCTGTCTGCCCAGAGAAGCCGTGACAGGAGAGTGGTGATTGGTGCAAGCGACATGGTATGAGGTAATCTCTCCCCCACCCCTTCCCCCTAGCATCCGTAGACTTTGCATCCTTCAGACAAAGGCTGAGCAAAGGCAACTAGCCGAGCATCCATTATGGGGTGGGGTTGGGGAGGGGAGGAAAGGGAAGAAAGAAAATTGGGACTGGATGATTATACATGGATTAAACCTTAAACTATAGTTAAAATAATCTAAGGTTTTCCCCAACACTTAATCAGAATTTATATTGAGATTTTTTTAATGGAAAATTCCAGTTTTTCATTCATAGTACACTAAATTTGACTATATTCTATCAGGATCCAATATCTTTAATTGCTTTTTAAAAAATAGCAGAGAAGATGGGAACGATGGTCAAAATGGCCTGGTAAATGCTGATTTTTAAAATTATTGCTGTTATCGGAACAAGATTCAGAAGCCCAGGATGAATAGGTCGTGCTTGTAATCCCAACAGCACCTGGGAGTCAGAGGCAGGAAGATCTGCAATTCAAGGTCATCCTAACTGGCTTTAGTGGCTCAAGCATATAAATCCCAACCTTGAGAAAGCTGAGGCTGGAGGATTGCAGCTAGTTTGAGGCCAGCCTGGATTATAGCGTTAGATCAAGTCTCAAGAAGCAAAAGAGAACAAAACAGAAATAACATAAAAACAGAATTTAATAGTTTACTAGAGAACTTTCTTTACTGATAGTATTCCATCACTCCTCCATGCCCACTCGCACCACCCCATCCCCCACCCCAGCCTGTGATGTCTTATCCCTAGAAATGAGCCATTCTTTCTAACACAAGATTCAGAAAGCATAAGGAGAAAGAATTGAGTTTAAAAACCAGCTCTTTCTTCAATTGGGCTTTTATTTCTGCAATGCTCTTTTTGCGGGAAGGGTGATATCAAGAAAAAAATAACCGAGACACCAAATTAAAAAGAGGAGAATTATATAATATAAAAGGAAACCATTTTGTAACGTGGTTTCCATCCCCAGACAACTGTGCAATGTCAGCCGACTGCAGTTCGTTTTCCGTAGTTCCCTAAATTCCGTAAATAGCCGCTTCTGCAGTTGGGTGGAAACCCAACTGTGGGAACAGTAGCTGCTCACACCACTGCTATTCAGCTGGCGACTGTGGTTGTTGCTCAGTTGCCTCTTGGAACAAAAATGCCTTGCTTTCACCCCTAGGAAATGGATTAAGGTGCCATTCTTCTGCTATTTAGAAAGCCTCCATTATCAGCGAGGATCATCTAGAAAAAGGCTCTGAGCTGCAGACCACTGAACATTTGCTGGATAAAAATTCAGAGGTAAAGAGATATTTGTTTGGGCGCCAAGCTAAAATTTGGATTTTGACAGATGACTTCCCTTTTAGTGTTCAGTAGCGGAGCCTTGGTTGTCAGCAGCATTATTTCCACTGCTCTGTGGAGCCCATTCATTCCCGCTGGGATGGCAAGGAGCAGGGGTGGGAGGGAGAGCCTTGGGAAGCGAGCAGCTGCAGGTTGTGAGGTAACAATGGTGGCTGCGAATTCTTCCAGCCTGCCATCCACTGCTCTGCTTTTCTTGTTTGAATGTCTTGTGGAAATCTCCATATCAATAAAAACCCACACACGAATCATTTGTTTACTTCTTGCATATTTCATAGGAGAAACAATCCCCTACCCTGTCCATCATTTTAGGAAATAAAAGTGTATTTTAGTAAAGAAACCGGAGCAAAGATGATTTAACTGCTTCTACTCTGTAAGCACATTCAGCAAAGATAAGAATTAAATGACAGCAGCTCTGTCTTAGAGAAGCCTGCACCCCTGCTCTGTCTTAGTAAGCCCCCACCCCTGCTCTGTCTTAGAGCAGCCCCAGCTCACAGGCTGCTCTCTCTCTCTCTCTCTCTCTCTCTCTCTCTCTCTCTCTCTCGAAGGCCACACCCATGCTCTTGGGTATTTTTCTGACTGCTTCTGCTTCCTCCTTACTCTCATGTTAAAATCTGTTTTAAAGCCCTTTAATAAACCCAACTCTGCTTCATTTAAAACCGGCATAGAGAAGATAGGACATGATAATACTTTATTGAAAACATTGTCACAATTAAAAATTACTGCATTTATTACACATATTTCTTTGTGTGTGCGTGTGTGTGTGTGAACTTGTAAGAAGAAATTTCAATTTCTCCAGAGTTGGAATGTATTCATGTATGAAATTACCAAACACACACACACACACACACACACACACACACACACACACACACACTGGTGGTTTGAATAAGAATGACCCTTAAAAGCATATACTCATCATGCAGCGGTCAGAGGGTAGCCTGAAGTGTGAGCCCTCATCTTCCACCTTTAGGACAGAATCTCTGTCTTCTTTGCTATTAACCTCCCAGGTTTATGTGGCTTCTAGAGACCCAGACTTGGGTCTTCACACTTTCATCGCAAGTATCTTACCCACTGAGCCATCTCCCCAAAGTCTCATCTATTCTAGTCTGGCCCAGACTTTCAATACAGCTGAGAATGGCCTTCAACCTTTAACTTGTGATCCTCCTGCTCCCAAGTCCTGAGACGAGACAATAGGCCTTTAAAACCAGGCCTATCCCCCCCCCCCCCCCCCCCAGACAGGGTTTCTCTGTGTAGTGTGTAGCTTTGGAGTTTATCCATTCATCTGCTGGTGGACATATAGACTGATTCCATAACTTGATTTTTGGCAATGTAAGAGAAAAGAAAAATCTGAATCATTGTCATTTGGGAAATCTCTCTCTCTGTCTCATTTCCCCAGACAGGGTTTCTCTGTGTAGTGTGTAGCTTTGGAGCCTATCTTGGAACTCACTCTTGTAGACCAGGCTGGCCTCGAACTCCCAAGCACTGGTATTAAAGGCATACACCACCACCACCACTGCCCTGCTCACCTGGCCTGCTTTTATGCGGTGCTAGAGACTTAAACCCAGGGCTGCATGAATGCCGATCAAGCCCTCTACCAACAGAGCTGCATCCCTAGCTGCACACCTGAGTTTAAATTACATTCAATTTTAAATAAATGTTCTAGAAATCAGTGTGGAAAATGGTAGGTGCAGTGGAGGACGGAGGAATGAAGGAGCTATGGAAAGGACCTGAGACTTGGCCCTGTGCGAGGCCAGAATAGGCACTGGTGAAGGAGCAGCCTCAGTTGCAGTGGAGACTCCAAGATATTGGAGATGCTGGGACCACGGGGCATTCACCAAGGACAGTGGCAGGCAATTGCAGAATGGATCCAGCCTGAATAAGACAAAGTGTGCTGTGGATGGCAGAATCAGAGCAGAGAGATTGCCCAAGCCCTTTGGAGCCCAGAAGTTCATAAGTGAGCCCCAGATCCTGGACACTGAGCTTTTTATATAGTTAGGGTTTGGTTTTATGTTGATCTAATTATAATTTGCTCTTGTTTTTCCCTGTTAGAATAAGAAAGTATATATTTTTTGAGACAGGGTCTCATTGTGTAGCATTAACTATCTTGGAATTCACTGTAGACCCTGGCTGGCCTTGAATTCACAAAGTTCTACCTGCCTCTGCTTCCCAAATTCTTGGATTAAAGACGTGAGTTAGGAGGCTTGATTTTTTTTGTTGTTGTTGTTTTGTTTTGTTCTTTTTGATTTTACAGGAGTCCACAGTTGAGAGACATTAGAATTTGCAGGGGGGGGTGCAGTTTCAAGACAGGGTTTCTTTGTGTAACAGCCCTGGTTGTCCTTGAACTCACTCTGTAGACCAGGCTGGCCTCGAACTCACAGAGATCCTCCTGTCTCTGCCTCCTGAGTGCTGGGATTAAAGGCTTGCGCCCCCACCGCTGAGCATAAGACATTAGAATTTTAAAAAGATTTTGGGCTTTTTAAATTTAATTTTATTTTCTTCTCTTTTTGAGATCTTAGACTTTTAGAGTGTTGACAGGTTATGGTTTGAAGTGCCGTGTATATGTGTCAAGGTTGACTGGGATGGGAGTGGGGTGGAATGTCATAGTTATCTTCAACTGTCAACTTCTACAGACTTAGAGTCACGCGGGAGGAGGAAATGTCAACTGAAAGATTGCTTTAATCAGATTGGTCAGTGGTTATCTATATCTGTGAGGCATTTTGTTAATTGCTAGTGCCTACTGTGGGTGGCCCCATTCCTAGGCAAGAGAAAGGTGAGTGAGCCAGAAGGAGCAAGCCAGTTAGCAGCATTAGTGCAGTTCTGTGTGAATTCCAGTGTGCTTTGGTCATGTTGATTTAAAGGTCCTTGTTTTCTTGGTGTCTTCCATCCCCTCTGGGCTCTTACACTCTCTCTGCTTCCTCTTCCTTGGGGTTCCTTGAGCCCTGAGGGGACAGAGTTCGTGGAGATATGCTGTTGGCTCAGTGTTCTAGGTCTCTCAATCCACATAATGTCTGGCTGTCTTTGTTCCTATCAGACGCAGGAGGAAGCTTTTCTGATGATGGCTGAGCAAGACACTGAG